TCCCCGGGGTACGGGGGGGGTGCACCCACTCTCCCCGGGGTACGGGGTACTCAGTCTCCCCTCTCTCGGCACAGACCATCCTGGAAAGGGATTTGAGATGATGACCTTCATAATTTTAAGGTGATTGGAGGAAGGTATGGGAGAGATATCAGAGGTAGGTTCTCCACACAGAGAGTGGTGGGTTTGTGGAATGCGCTGCCGGCAGTGGTAGTGGAGTCAGATACTTTAGAGACTTTTAAGCGACTCTTGGATAGGCACATGAAGGATAATAAAATGTCGGGTATGCAGGGTAGATCGATCTTAGTAGGATAATAGGTCGGCACAACATCATGGGCTGAAGGGCCTGTACTGTGCTGTACTGTCTGTTAGAAGTCAGAGCTGGGTTCGTGCCCCCAGCCTGGTACCTGTGTGGATCTCCTGAATGATGGTACAGAGGCTGTAAATATCTGATCGTACAGTGCCCACATGTTGCCAAATAAGTTCAGGGGGCAGCCAGTTGTACAGCTGAGGGGGGATAACAGCTGCTGACATGTTACTGCCGGCGTTGTCATCAGACCTGAAGGTAACGGCAAGAACAGAGAATCAGAAAGGAGACAGATCCCAGCACTGACAAACCAACAGTATGCTCTGAGCACTGAGCCTCACACTTTGTGTGTGTGTGTGTGTGTGTGTGTGTGTGTGTGTGTGTGTGTGTGGAGAGAGAGAGAGAGAGAGAGAGAGAGAGAGTGTGATTGACCGAGGGAGAGTGGGGGAGTGACTGAGGGAGACAGAGTGTGTGCAATAGTGACCGTGACTGTGTGAGTGAGAGAGACAGAGCATGTGTTTGAGAGTGTGTCAGACAGTGTGTGTGTGAGATAGTGACAGTGAGAATGTGTGTTTGAGATTGCGTCAGACAGTGACTGTGTGTGTGTGTGTGTGTGTGTGCCTGTGAGAGTGTATCTGTGTGTGAGAGAGAGAGAGTGAGAGTGCGTGCGAGAGAGAGAGAGAGATAGAGACAGTGAGTGTGTGTGGGTGTGTCAGACAATGAGCATGTGTGTAAGAGATAGTGACCGTGTATGTGAGATAGAGACAGTGTATGTGTTTGTGACAGTGTCAGACAGTGTGTCTGTGAGAGATAGTGACAGTGTGTGAGAGATAGAGACTGCGTGAATGTGTGAGACAGTCTTTTTGTGTGTGCGTGTGAGATAGTGTCAGTGAGTGTGTGTGTGTCAGACAGCATGTGTGGGAGACACTGACAGTGTGTGTGTGTGTTACACAGTGAGAGTGTGTGAGAGAGATAGTGACAGTGTGTATGTGATAGAGACAGTGAGAGTGTGTGTTTGTGATTGTGTCAGACTGTGAGAGAGATAGGGACAGTGTGAATGTGTGTTTGAGAGTGTGTCAGACTGTG